ACACTGTTCTTTGTGTTATTTCTGTTTTAGTTATATTAGTCTTTGTTTTTGTGTTTTTTTTTATAATGTGGCGTTACAATAAATGGTTTCTATTTCTATTTCTATTTCTATTTCTAAGTGTGGATGGGACTTGGACGGGGTCAATTTCAGTATGCTAAGTTAATAACAATGTACCTATAAATTGATTCACAAATGAAATTTCAACCGCCGTACCTTTGATTAGAGTTAGCCGACAACTGAGCGGTTTGCATTGTAGGTGCTGGATGAGGAGGTCCCGGGTTCGATTCCCCGGTAAGACAAATTCGGGAAATGAATTTTTCTAATTTAGTTCTGATCTGGATGTTCAGGGTTGTGCCCCCGAGTAAATTCTGTACAGGAACTTCCCTAGTTTTAGATCAGTTTGTTTTTTTTGTCTCTGGTAAGGAGGCGTTTATTTAATAAATATTTACAACAAATATTATACTCGCAACTTAAGTCTTTGTAATTCAATTTTCTTTTGTAGTGTCTTCATTTCTTCTAGATTAAAATTTTTCCGTTTCTTTATTTTGGGGTCCGCCCTTCTCCATTTAGGCGCTCTAGAGGACGGGAAGAAGTCATAGTAGTGTGGATCTACTACCATTTTCCTCTCTAACTCGTACTGCCTAATCAGCTTTATTATGTCCCTTATGTCCGTGGCTAACCGGCTAATCTTATCTAATAGTCGCATAGTGGGATATAAGGTGACGTACAATCCAACCATTATCTCTAGCTCATGATACACTAATCTTGATTGTCGCTGCAAGTGACGCAGCATTGAAAAAAGGTATCCCAGCCTGTACCGTATACTTTTATGGTATTTCTTTCTCAACAACTGCGGGAAAACAAGTTTGTATCTTACTTCGTGAACTATTGAATGCATGATCTGTATAGTTTTGTTCTTCTCCAACGTGTACTTGTAACCGTTCATAAAGTATGGGTAATCATAATTCCACGCCCAGGATGGCCTGAAAGGGTCACGATGGTAAATTACTTTTTCTCTTTTTTCATTTTCCCGTTCTTCTAATGACTTCCCTGGCTTTCGTGGGGGTTTAGTTGGATACGGTTCTTTACGTCTGGTCAAAGGTATTGCGTCAAAGCGTCTTGTCAATGTGTCAAAGTCGACGTTGTTTAAATATTCTTGTAGAACACTGGGACTTGTAATCATTTCCTCTAGCTGCCTAAGTTTTCTTCTCTTTAGGAAATCTTTTTTAGAATACATCGCCGTTTCGGTTTTATTAGGCGTGATTGTCGCCATGAATTTTTTTGGATTTTCTGTTGTCGTCGTAGATGTGGCATTTGGAGACACTTTTACGTGTTTGAAAGTACCATTGTTGATAAGATGGGCGACGAGATGTGAGCTAGTGTTGAACATTACATGCCTGTCTGTTCGTTTTCGATACGCTTCCCGTGATTCTTTGACCGAATGCCCGATATACGCTTCGAATATTGCATCTGCTGTATCGGAGTAATAGCTCCCATGATTAGTAGGCAGTAAACCCACAACTAAAACTGCAACAAATTGTAACTGTAAATTTCATTTTCGTATTCATATATTTTTTGGCAAATTACTCCACTAGTTTGTTTATAAACACAAAGAAAAATTCCGTCAATCTGACAGGACTCAAACCTGTATACAGATCGCATTTACCTGTAGCTCAGCTAATGGAGCGTTGGCCCTAGTTTGTCATACAGACGCCGGTTGTATTTAGTGGCAGTAGAGTCCAGGGAAGCACAGGTAGTGTGAGTTATTACTGCATTCCGGTTTTGAAGGGTAAGGGTGCTGGTGAAATCACAGGCACTTGGGACTAGTCAACTCATTGTCTCAGGGCGACAGGCGCAGTGACAGCGTCTCTCGGATCTTTGTGATTTAAAGCTCTGAGTAGCACAGCTACAGAATACAAATTTAAATTGCAAATACCAATTAATATTGCTAAATTAAATAGAGAACAAATGTGCATTCCACTAACAGCTACACACAGCTTTGTCGTGTTATTGAACACAGCACAGAACACTATGATTAGAGGTAACTACAATTAATAAATTATAACTTAATAAATAAATTATAAGTAATCAATTCAAATTAACGAAACGAAAGTAACAATCTACAAATTATTACTGCGTTATCCATTGACTTACAAATAAATGGACGACGGGTCTAATACAAAAACCACGAAAAAATGTCCCAAGTCAACCTATTTAAACGTAGTGACATGTAAAGGAATATGAAAAAGCTAAAACGTTGAATTTAAATTGTAATGTCATCGCAGTACTGTCTAATTTTGCTTGCTTCGCTGTCAGTCGAACAAACGAAGACTAAAGCGTGAATGACGCTCTGTATACGATTTTAACGCCCTATAAGTTCGGACACTTTTTACCGCGGACCCGACGTCCATATAATTGTAAGTCAATGGCGTTATCTTAAGATTGCAAGATTTTAAAAATGCGTGATAAGTTTGAAAATATATGTCTAAGCTCCTGTCCTTATTTGTTTCATTATAGACTCGACACATAATATATGTTGCTCTGATCCCAAAATAAGTAGCTAAAGCACTTGTGTTATGGAAATCGGAAACAACGACGGTACCATAAATACCCAAGACAATATACAAAAGTTACTTTTCTACACTGACCCGGCCGGGAATCGAGGCTGGGTCCTCAAAGATGGTGACACCATGAAAAATGTGCAAACCACTCGACCACAAAGGTCATCAGTACACAATTGTACTTACTTATAAAAACAGAACCTCGTGCTGTCTTGAACATTTCTGGTTTGAAAAACAAATTATGCAACGCGAAATGTAATAACTGTAATTAATTGTTTTCAATTATGATGTTTAATAACCGACAACAGTTTAAAAAGGTGAATGCTTGTTAATCTGCGCAGATCGTCATTGGCAACATACGCAAATATTGTTGACATGCAACGTCTTCGGATTTTAACAGCATACAGAGTAACAGCACTGACGGCACACACGACGCGGTCTTATATGTCCATATAGAGTAGTAGTATACATTCAAAGTCAAAGTCAAAGTCAAAGATTATTTATTCCATAGGTAAAATAAATTTACACTTGAAATCGTCATATTTAAGCTACTGCTCGTTCACTACGCTGACCTCCCTGAGAAGAACGAGCAAGAAACTCTAGGGATTGCTCTTTTCAAATAAACTTAAATGCCATGGAGTACACTTTGAATCAAATTTGTGTGGATTCTGCAGCCGTGTCGTCTTTCCAATTTTGTAATATGATTTTTCGATCAAAATATTTTTAATGTAGTTTTTAAACTTAGGAAATGATAAACTTAATATATGCTCCGGAATCTTATTGTAAAAACGTATACAGTTCCCCATAAAAGAGTTATTTACCTGGGTAAACGTAATCGTGGTACCATGATTTTGGACTTCGGATATCTTCTTTCTTATTGAAATTATGTATATTTTTACGAGCATATAAAATATTTGAGTAAATGTACTGTGATGCCACAGTCATGATACCAGTCTCCTTAAACTTTTCTCTGAGAGAAACCCGAGAGCCTAGACGGTACACAGAACGAATCGCTCGTTTTTGCAATACAACTATGGTTTGAATATCTGCCGCTTTACCCCACATGAGAATCCCGTAGGACATTATACTATGGAAGTAACTAAAGTAAACTAGTCTAGCAGTACTAACATCGGTAAGCTCACGTATTCTGCGGACTGCGTATGCAGCGGAGCTTAACCTGCTGGCCAGGGAAGATTTTTTGTCTTATGATACCAAGTAACGGGACGAAGTCGTACGCCTGGTTTTAAGCGACACGCCTGTCCATAACAGTTGCAGTGCCACTAAGAACTGCAAATCATAAAATTTTCACAATAGAAAAAAAACACAAACTTAACTCGATATTTTGTAAGAAAACCGCTGCACCAACAAGGGTAATCGCAAATGGACAACAGGGAGAGTGTTGTACAGCCTTACCTAAAGCCTTTTAAGAATCGGATAAAGTCTGTGTCAACGGGATACTCAGGGGTGAAGACGTGACTGTTGGGTCCCTGTGCAGGCTTACTTTTTTATGATACTAAGTGACGGGGCGAACAAGTCGTGCACCTGGTAGTAGCAGAACGTTAAATCGCAAAATATCTAAGGGACACTGCCTCTACGCCCGACACCCTGAGAAGTCCCATGTGCCTGTAATTTCACCAGCACCCTTAGCCTTCCAAATCGGAACGCAGAAATGCTCACATTACTGGTTGATGTCAGAAATAGATAAGGTGGCAGTACTTCCCTTGAAGAGCTTTTTCACAAAGAGCTGTACTGCTACTGCTTGCACAGGTAGTAGTGTCCTTCCCGTATAACCAAAAGATGGTAAGGAGGGGCACTATAGACAATACTTAAGCCGAAGATATGGGACTGCTCTCATTAGGGTATGTTCACATGACAAGCGTTCAACGCGTGTTAGATTTTTGAATAAAGTACACATGGCGGGCGCTTTTCGGGCGTTGAGCGCGCATAGCCACTGCTTCAGTGCAAGTTCGCCATTACCCGAAGACGGACGTGGAAACAGCTATGTGTTTATGGATTTTATATCGAAGACGGAGACAGCAATGCAACATGAAACGGGAATGTTGAATCCATCCTATTTTATTATCCAGGCTCAGTGAAAGTTACTTCATACCTTTGTATCCTAAACTCAGACATATGAACCCAAATTTTTTAATTACTTAGGGATGTCAATCAAGTCACTTGATAGCGTTACTAGCTCTCATAAATGATGAACTCATAAATCCATATTAAAGTCTTCTGTGCCCATTCGTAGAAAAAAAAATCCAATTTAGATTGACAGATAGAATCTTTATTCACCACCATGACAAATACATACACAGACCCATGATACAAACATTAACTTAGACGTAACACAGTAACATATTCTACTAATATCTCTCTTGGAAGTCATGGCAATGAAAAGGCGTTGACTCAACATGAGTGACGCGGCTGCCCGCGACGCTGGTATTCTGCCAGGATCCTATAGGACAGAGACGCCACTCGTAAAACCCAAAACAAAATCAACTTAATAATATTCAAATTCTAACCAATTCAATTCAATCCAATTCAATCCAATTTATTTATTTGTTGGAAATGAAACTATTTTTCCGGATTTAAATCGCGTATATTTGTTTTTTCAAACAAAACCGACGTTTCGGGCCCTTTACAGGTCCCATGGTCACGGTTGACTGAGGTGTTACAGTCTTCAACCAGTTATGTCTAATATTGATGCAAACCACCCTATTTTTTCACCATAGTTACAATAGTTATTAATTAAATACCTTATTTTTAATTTTACAAAGAAAACATTCCAATTTACGCTATATTAAGTTTTATAAATTATTATTATTATTTTAAAATAATTTGTGACCACCTCAGTCAACCGTGACCATGGGACCTGTAAAGGGCCCGAACCGTCGGTTTGTTTGAAAAAACAAATATACGCGATATAAATCCGGAAAAATAGTTTCATTTCCTATGTGTAACAATCGCGAAAACCTAAGAACTCGTTATTTATTTGTTTTTATTATTATTTAATTTCAATTGCAAAACACGCCTCACCGCGTCGAAAACGCGCGCTCATGGGAACGGTAGTACGGCAAACCTTTAACGCACGTTGATAAGAATTGAGCGCGCGTTGGCCGCTCGCATGCGAACACGTATAGCGATTTTCGTACAAAATTCTCTAAGTTGTAAGCGCGCGTTAACGAAATGCTCGTCATGTGAACATGCTCTTAGTATATTTTAAACCTTCCCCATTTCACAGCTTCGCAATGAATTAATGTTGTTCATGAATCAACGCAATCAACGTGTTATAAATAAGGCGGTAGTTAAGTGGGACTTGAATTATTACACCGATCCGTCAAGAGACCATGGACACAGCTCTTTACTATAATTAAAAGTAGAAGTTAAAATTTACAAAACGGCCTCCTGTACAAAACGGCGAACTCTAAAAGGTCAATAAAACCAGCATCTATAATAATAATAAATTTTTATTAAGCTATCTTGAGTCCATTTGTGAGTTCGAATCCGGGCTGGCACCTCTGAGGTTTTCGGAATTTATGTGTGAAATTTTAATTTGAAATTTACTATGACCTTTTCGACGAAGGAAAACATTGTGATTAAACCTGTACGTCGACGACGATTCGTAATTCTCGAAAACCGTGTGCATACATACCAACAATTGACAATTGGCTTATAGGTGACGAGGAATTAGTAGAGGCGAAGCTGCAGAGCCTTGAGCACCGCCGTAAAGTTGCCTGCTTATTTAAATTTTTGAGTCGAGCTCTTCTCTAAAACTAATGGCGACTAACTCCGAGAAGCACAGGGGAAGTTGAAATGCGAGTGAGCGAGGCGGATATACAAAGTGTGTTTTTTGTGCATAAGACTTTGAATAGTGTGACAAGGACGCCACCATACTACGTACTGCTGCACGTAAATATAATCGTCTTCGTTTGTAATACTCATTTAAAATTAGAATCAAACTTCACCAGGTAAGTTCGTTTAATTCTTAAACAAAAAAACTGGGAAATATTCGAATTTTGAAGTTATGACAAATATGTGAGGTACGGCAGCAGGTTAGTGAGTCGATGTAATGTCACGTAGCTCGTAAACAGACGTGCGCGCTGCTTATGACGTGACGCCATGTGGCCTTTCCGACTCGGTCCATTTTCACTCAACTTGGCCATTTTTAAATGACAAATCGATGCTTTTTAACCGACTTCAAAAAAGGAAGAAATCTCAAATCGACGGCATATTTTATTTTTTTGTATATATATTACGTGATAACTTTGTGAAACGACTTCGATGATTCTTTTTTTTGTTGGAAAGAGGGTACCTCAGTTGTGGTTCCGTTTAAATTAGAAGAAAAATATTCCACTTCTAAGGGTGGCAAACTTGGGGAATCCCGTTTCACGCACTTCCTTCCGGTAAAAACGGTGAGGGTTTTTAAAGTCATCTTCCTGATCAATTAAGTGTTTTTTTTAGATAGGTCACTATTATAGAAAGCCACAGATATATCAATAAAATAATACAAATACAACGTAGACAAAAAAACAAACAATTAATTAATAAACAAATAAAGCATGATGAATAAAAGCCAGCTTTTATCTTTATTCATGATAAGATAAAATATTTTATTGTCCTGTAAAATTGTTATATTTATTGCGGGTAAAAGGGAATTGGAACAAACGGAACATTCGGGACAAATAGGGTCACAATTGTGACAGGTCATCAGCGATTGTCCGCGTTTTCTTTACGGGACTTAGGTACAGTTACCGTTTGTCATGGCTGTCACTGACATCCTTCCACGTGGCATTTTAGGGTGACAATGAGTGTGTAATGTAAAAAGAACATATTAAATACCTGAAAGATTTACAACATGGTATTTCAGAGCTAGGTTCTTACCAGTGCAGTTTAGTAGCAGTATCGCTTCTTGTGAAAGAGTTCGTCCAGGGAAGTACTGCTACCTTATCTACTTCTGCCGTCAAGCAGCAATGTGAGCATTACTGCGTTTCGGTTTTGAAAGGTGAGGGTGTTGGTGAAATTACAGGCACATGGGACTTGTCAACTTATGTCTCAGGGTGAGAGGTGCAGTGGCAGTGCCCATCAATTCTTTACGATTTAAAGCTCTGAGTGACACGTGAACTGTCACGTTTCATCACTTAACTTGTTATCATAAAAAAAACAACGTCGTTTTCATTTTCTTCTAACATTTATTCTCAAACTCCTTCTACGAAGTGACATCCATTTTTCTTTTTATCACATGAGTGTTTGTGATCGCCTGGAAGGCGCAACACACTTGCCATACACTCTAACTTTAATTAGACTTCTAATATTATACACCCCTTGGCTTTAACAGCTAAGATCTTGTTGGTATAGTAAACAAGATTATTTTCTTTGCATAATGAGTTTCTTTGCTCTCAACGAGTACTTGACTTACAGATGCTGACTTTTTGGATTAAACTGTTTTGTTAAATACAAACTTTCATTTTTTTTTATGAGACCATGTGACGGGACGAACAAGTGGTAACCTTGTAGTAAGTACCACTCAGAGCTTTATGACAAAGATCTGAGGGGCACTGCCACTGCACCCGTTACTCTGAGACATAAGTTATCAAGTCCCAACCAGCACCCTTACTTTACTACTACTAAAAACGGAACGCAGTAAAAATTTTTTCTAGTTAGGTATGGCTACTAAGTGAATGTCATTATAAATAGTAATAAAACATCTCATCAAAATTTATCCGTGAACAAACTTAACGCGTGGTCCACCTGGTCTATAAACGGATATAGCCCCGCGCGGTATTTTCGGGGCACGCTATTCAGCCTGGTCTTCGGATGGATTGTCATTTCCGGGACGTGCGGTACGGATCGGTAACGGGATTCCGAGTTCCGTAATTGGTAGGTAGAAAAATAATTGTCAGCGCACTCGTGTTTTGTCTCCAGATTTAATGCTCTATTATTAGTATTGACACTGGTTATTCATAACAAGTATTATTTTTGTCGGTAAACATAAGAAATAGGCAATTAATAAAAAATACAATAATTTATCGAAAGTATTAAGGTCTGAGAGAAACCTTATTTAATCTTAAGTGTTTTATTGAATGTCAGGACATTTCACCACCATGGTATTCAATTATTTTTTGTGAAATTACTCCACTAGTTTGTTATAATTATTAATACAAAGATCGAACACTCAGAAATAACACCTTCGATCCGGATTCGAACCGACGTCTCCTAGCAAACCGTGCCAGACGCATTGAGGATGATGATTGCGAATACAAAGATCGAACTCATAGAAAAATTTTCGTCGACCCGGTGGGACTTGAACCCACGTCCATGCTGCACCGTAGATTTGCTCTTACGAACTGAGCTACGGATCCAGTTACCAAGCCGTTGAAATTGTGTTTTTGTTATAGAGTTTTGCAATGGCTTTCGGCATTCGTCTGTGAGTTTAAGTCCCATCGGATGAACGAAATTTTTTCTATGTGGTCGATCTTTGTACCTATTCGTAATCATAACAAAACTAATGGAGTTATGTCACAAAAAATCTCAATAAATAAAACTATACTCGTTATGTCAACTTTTATACAACTTGGGTTTTCAAAATAATAAATAACCAAAAATAAATGATTTTTTTTATAATATACTGATACACAACTAAATGAAATATAACTCACAATAACGTAAATTATTTCTCTCTTCAACAGTTCGCCTGCAATTGGAGGACGCGTCTCTCCGTGACTACGTCCTATACACAATAGTTGGCAGTTTCATCAGAGGCAACTTTACACCAACTAGTAATGCTGAGCGCCTGTGCCGTGACGAACAAACTCTACCATATTTCATACCAAAACACAACAGAGCAGTGCGCTCGAAGCATAAGCGCACGAAATTCGAAAGTGACCGTTCAAATTTCGAAAGTGATTATCCAAAATTCGAAAGTGACCGTTCGAAATTAGAAAGTGATTATCTGAAATTCGAAAGTGACCGTTCAAAATTTGAAAGTGATTACGTAACGTTCGACAGGACAGGCGGTTTTGACGGTTATTACTTTAGACCGAAGTTCCGTAGTTTTAGAGAAGAGAGGTCTGTGTACAGGACGGCGAAAAGCCTGAGATACCGAAGGAGGTTCTCTCCGGGAAGAATTGTGAGTGGTTCTCTGGAGGATCGCAGAACAGTGTTGCTGCAGTGGTCGATAAGTGACGCTGTGCACGTAGAAGACGACGCGAATGTTGTATTTAGGTAAGTTTTATTTTTCATCAAAAATGGTAAATTATCAGTTTTATTGGCGCAATTCGGAGGATCAAATTGTTGTAGAACAACTTACTTACTCCGCTGGCTCAGCAACCCGAAGTTGATCTTGGCCTCCGATACAAGTCTCCTCCCACTTCTCTGCATATAGGGCGTGGAGGTCTTTCTCCACTTAGTCCCTCGATGGATTACTTTGATGGATATTTGGGCCTACCATAACCTTTCCAAAAACAGTCTTATTTCAATGTAAGCTTAAAGTAAGCTTGTTATAATATTACTCATATTCGTACCATGACAAACTTGTCTACCAAGAAATGTATTGTTGCTAAAATGACTGAAAGAACGAATGATTTCCCAATATTGTCTATTCCTTACTAAAAATAGGAAAGAAATAACGCTATATAAACTGTATAATGCCATCTCTTTCTTTTTTGATGTTCCGAATCGTGTTACCGTAGTATAATGTTAAAGTACTTAATGTTATTTATATTCAGAGAATTTTAACTGCCAAACCAAGAAAAGTATGTAATAATGAAATATATTAAAATTACGTTGTTTTCAATTATTACTTCGCATTTTCATGAAGAAAAGTAAATAAAACAAGCTGAGTCTTGATTGTCAGGTTGTGAATTCGGAACCATAGTCTAGTGTCAACTGCTAGTTTCGCCAAGGAGCAGATAGATGGCGCTGTCATAATTTTACGAAATAAACATCGCGTATTTTTATTTTACGAGAAATTATTTCCTATGTGCTATTAAATAAAAAATAAACAAAATATTGAAGAGATATATGTAAATAAATAAGTTCAATTTAACTTTTAATCAT